TGTTGAAGCACCTTTGGCAGCGATTACAGCCTTGAGTCTTCTTGGGTATGACGCTACAAGCTTGGCATACCTGTATTTGGGGAGTTTCTCCCATTCTTCTCTGCAGATCCTCTCAAGCTCTGTCAGGTTGGATGGGGAGCGTTGGTGCACAGCTATTTTCAGGTCTCTCCAGAGATATTAGATCGGGTTCAAGTCTGGGCTCTGGCTGTGCCACTCAAGGACATTCAGAGACTTGTCCCGAAGCCACTCCTGCGTTGTCTTGACTGTGTGCTTAGGGTCGATGTCCTGTTGGAAGGCTGTAACGAAACAACATGTGGAAAAAGTCAAGTGGTCTGAATACTTTCTGAAGGCACTGTACGTTTTTTTCCAGCAACAGAATATGATCGATAATGGCAAAAGCTGCACTGAAGTCTAACAAAACAGCCCCCACAATCTTTTTATCATCAATCTCTCTCAGCCAATCATCAGTCATTTGTGTAAGTGCTGTGCTTGTTGAATGTCCTTCCCTATAAGCATGCTGAAAGTCTGTTGTCAATTTGTTTACTGTAAAATAGCATTGCATCTGGTCAAACATTTATTTTCCTAAAGTTTACTAAGGGTTGGTAACAGGCTGATTGGTCAGCTATTTGAGCCAGTAAAGGGGGATTTACTATTCTTGGGTAGCAGAATGACTTTTGCTTTCTAGTAGGCTTAAATTGAAGATATGGCAAATAGGAGTGGCAATATCGTCCGCTATTATCCTCAGGAATTATCCATCCAGGTTGTCAGACCCCGGTGGCTGGTCTCATACGATCCCGCAGGTGAAGAATCCAGATGTGGTGGTCCTGCGTTGGCTGGGTTACACGGTGTCTGCGGGTGTGAGGCCGGTTGGACATACTTCCCAATTCTCTAAAACGATGTTGGAGGTGCCTTATGGTAGAGAAATTAACATTACATTCTCTGGCAACAGCTCTGATGGACATTCCTTCAGTCAGCATGCCAATTGCATGTGTGGCATTGTGTTGTGTGACAAAACTGCACATTTTAGAGTGGCCTTTTATTGTCCCCAGCACAAGGTGTACCTGTGTAATGATTATGCTGTTTAATCAGCTTTTTGAAATGCCACACCTGTTAGGTGGATGGATTATTTTGGCAAAGAAGAAATGCTCACTAACATGGAAGTAAACAAATTTGTGCACAAAATCTTAGAGAAATAAGCTTTGTCTGCGTATGGAACATTTCTGGGACCTTTTATTTCAGCTCATAAAACATGGGACCAACACTTTACATGTTGCGTTTATATTTTTGTTCAGTGTATGTGCAGCAAAATGATCTGTTTCTCTGAGTTGCCTTGTGAAAGTCTAACATTATAAGATCCTATTTTATAATTTAGCGAGTCATGTTGGCAAAAAAACTAGCTTTCAAATGATGCCCACCTAACCCAGATTGCAATTTATAATGTCGTTTTTGGATTGAGTAAACATCAGTAATTGTGTGATGGCGGGGATGCAGGATGTGTTCCAAACAAAACAGGTATGCTTTCCCTAGTTCCTCAACGTCACAGCTAGGAGATATAAAATATATATATATATATATATATATATATATATACCTTGGTTGAAGACTCTTTGAGTCATAAAAGTGCATTGAAATAACTTAGGAACTGTGCACTTTGGAGAGGTGTCTGGCCACTTAGATACACCAGAGCCACGTTTGAGGAGTTCAGCGAGCTAACTTTGGTCAACAGAGTTCAAATTGGGATAACCAGTACTACAAAAATGGCTCACCTTTTAGCCAGGTACATTTCTATGGCAACTAATTATTCAGAAGTAATCTGCTCCGGGGCAGGCTAACTCAGGGATAACTCAATTAATCCTGAATGAAGTGTCTGAGCAGTGAGTTGAGGACCAATAAAGTCAGATTCCCTCCCTCTCGCAAAGATCGCGTCATCATCCCCTTAATTTGAGAAAGACTGATTAAATATTTTATTAACCAGCTTTTGTGTGTAAAAAATAGTAATGTTAACATACCTATCCCATTACCCATTTAGTACTGACAGAATGCTTTTGAAACTTCACCCACAGTAAAACTTTTGTATGACCTAATACAATTATTTTATCAACAGGAGAAGGATTTTTTTTTGCTTGTGCATTGATAAGCACAACAAAGCACACCATCATATTTCTTCTGTAAAAAAAACATTTAAATGTGGCCCTATCCGTATAGGCCAATTCACTAGTGTAAAGGGTTCATCTTCTGTACAAAAAAACAACACAAAAACCGTTTAGTTGGTATGGAGGGCTGTGTGATATACATAAAAAACTGTCAGTAGGGTAGGACAATGCCAGGAAGCCCCTTTAGCCGTAGAGGAGTGGTGAATGGAAGAGAGAGAGAGTGTAGGGGGACGTAGGAAGCCTGTGGTACATCAAACCTCACAGAGGAAGCAAGCCCTTTAACCCAAACCCCCTTCCAACCTATCCCCCTCTCTGATGGTTTGTCTCAACACCCACTTTGAAAGCACTACTTCAACAGCGGCTTGGAAGCCAGTTGTAGGCAATGATTTTACTGACATCAACATTTCAATGGGTTGTCTCATCAACCTAGGAGGGGTGATTTTCCTGAAAGCTTCCTGGCACTAAGATCATCTTAAGGCCATTGGTATGCAAATATAAAATTATGATTTTAGTGCTATGAATTTGGAGGGAAATCAACCACCCCTGGTCAGTTTTCTGATTGAAACAGATGAGTATGATCATAAAGTTGTCAACACCTGTCAGGTTAGGTGACAGAGGGACATTTTGCAAAACCCCTTTGACATCCTTGACAAAGCATTAAGTCATCTTAGTTGGTGCTTATTTGATGTAATATAACTTTAGCTCTCATCAGCAGCAGTTCTATTTCATTTCTATGTAATGTCTTCGTTTTTATTTATTTTTAATGGAACCCAGGGCTCCCTGTAAAGCAGTGGCTTTTGTTACCAAGTGGACTATCCTGGCTAAATATATTCAAAAAACAAAATGAATGGTCAGCACCATTGTTCTGTTCAAGAGTTCCAGTGGCTACAGCCGCCACAGCCTTCCAGGCGTCATGGTGATACTGAACAGCACAGGGACAATATTTGTGTTGGCTGAGGTTCATGTTAATTGCAGATTAATGGGACGTGTTTGGAACGCAGTGTTCCAACTGCCACCCCTCTTTTACTCTCTAGGTTGTCAGCATTTCTCAGCTTTAGGCTGATTTTTCTCTCGCTCTGTCCATCCTGCTTACTTCCCTTTGTTAAGAGTAGTCAATTCCTCTCTTTTTCTAAAGCAACAGGAAGAGGTCTGTCAGCAGAATTATGGCTTCTGGAAAGAGGGGATAAACCTGTCCCTGACCTCCTCCAGTCTGTGTTGGACCCGGCCTGTTATCTGTGGCCAGCATAAAAACTAAAATGACCCTAGTGGTACCACTAACCAAACTAACAGCCTTATCAACTGTACCACTAACCAAACTAACAGCCTTATCAACTGTACCACTAACCAAACTAACAGCCTTATCAACTGTACCACTAACACCCCCATCAACTGTACCCCTAATCAAACTAACAGCCCTATCAACTGTACCACTAACCAAACTAACACCCCTATCAACTGTACCCCTAACCAAACTAACACCCCTATCAACTGTACCCCTAACCAAACTCACACCCCTATCAACTGCCATGCACTAGGAATTAATAACCCTGGTGTACAGGTACCAACCAAACTAGCAGATTTTCATCCTGACCATAAACAGGAAGGAGAGGTTGAACTTCTCCATGTCTCCATCCCAAATGGCACCCTATTCGCACATCATAAGTAATGCCAGTATAGATAAATGCACCAGAGAGGAAATCTCTTTCCTCCATCTTGGTTAGCTGTTTTCATTGAACTGACCTGGTCGCCTGAACTCTGTGCTTTTATATATCCTACACTACAGGGAGATGAGGAGAGATTTGTCTGCACAAGGTCTACATTTTAATGTAAAATATATACACAAATATTCCAACACATTTCAGAAAAACTTTGTAAAATATATTTTGGTCCAAAAGCTGATTTGCAAAAATATAGGATGTGCAATCACAATGGTCACAAGGCATCACAAACTTCTACTGTACCTATTCAGCCCTATCAGTGTATTCAACTTCTATACTAGAAAACTCTACATCACACATTTAAGGCTATAATTTGCATAAAGCAGCTGAAATGTAGTGCTGCATTCTACGAGTAACACATAATACCAAGATTGCTATTCAGTGGAGTATCTAATAGTAGTAGTAGTCAAATTTGACCAAGCATAAACAATCCATCTCTACTGATATTTAATTATAGCCTGGTCCCAGATCTGTTTGTGCTCTTGCCAACTCCATTGCTGTCATTGTCAAGACAAACATGTTTGCCATGACAATGTGTGAAAGGGAGTTGGTTATGACAGCAAAAAGACTGGCACTCAAGCTACCTTTATTCCCCATCATTCTTGAGAAGTGCTTCTTTAAAAATGATGCTGTTTGATGCAGAAAAATTTGCAGCAACTAATGTTCCCAAAAAAATGGTCAGTCCAACAATGGATTCTGGTCCCAAGTCCACTCATGATAGCGAAATGCGCAGTGTTTCCCCTATATTCATTTAGCAGCGGGGTCCCACCGCTGCAAAAAATACGATTTTACATATATGACTTTTTATATATAAATAATTTTTGCCGAGACGCACTTTAAAATAGATAGTCGTTGGATCAATGTCTGGAAGTCTATGGGAACAGCTAGCATGTCTCCTCCCCCAGCTACCCTTGCCACCACTGCTGAAATTCTAGGGGAAACACATACTCCATATGATCCAAAGTGAGATGATGATGAGGGATGTTCATGTCAAATACCAAAAGGCTTTCCCTTTACTGTAGGGTTCACTACACTGATATATTCCCATGTCCAGTTATATTAGCATACTCACTCAGTAGATTGGACCAATCCAGGGTCGTGTTCAGTAGCACTAAAATCACCATGATTTCTTATTGGACAAGTTCAGGTAGTTAGTACCTAGTCATTGGTAGTATTGTACCTTCCTGTTTCACTCAGTTTCAAACCTTTTCTCCTGTCTGGTGCTTAAAATGGACACGACCCAGGATTTCAACTGCCTGGGTTAAAGGGGCAATCTGGGATTCAAACAACAAAGCAGTCAATGTATCAATCTCAGGTTGTCCCATTAAGTCTAATCAATCCTTTTCAGTGTAACATCTCTAGGACACAAGCAGCAGTATTAGACAAAGTACACTTTGGCTCCAAAGTCAGTCAGTCAGAGTGCTTATCAATGTGGAATCACATTCTTCTTATAAATATGTATCAGTCAGTAATACATTACAACAATGGAAAGAGTCTGGTGTGAGATCAGACTAAAATAATCTGTGTGTTTACATTGTTTGGGGCAATGTTTCATGATATAAATGTACAGCAGAACAAAAGTAAAATAGAGAAAGAAAAAGAAAACATTCAAATCTAAATGGGAAAAGTTTGGTTGTATCAGTGGTGGTTATAATGTCCTGCTATGCAAAGATGTTAGAGATGAAATCCCGAAATCGCTTGGCATACTGTTCTGGGTGGACAGTGGAGATTTCAGCACCAGCCTGTAGAGGCATAGAGAAGGGATAACGTCAGACTGAACATCTTATTGGGAATGAAAAGTATCAATGAAATGCTAATTTTACAGTTATAGTTGAACAAATGAGAGACCCTTAACCCTCTAATCTCAGAGATGTGACCAGCCCAACATTGGAAACCCAGGGAAAATAAGACATTTATTTGGGAATAGGTAACTTTCAATTATTTATGAATAGGGAATGATGTTAGACAAGCAGTAATGCACACAGTATACAATGAGAATCCCATTGCATCTTATAAGGTGAATGAAAGGTGTTGCTGAATTAAAATCTCATTTTACAATATATCCCTGGCATTCTGAATCTAAATGATCTAATAGGACAGACCCTAACCCCCTTTCCTTCTCCCTTTTCACTCACCCCATGCTTGACAGTTTTGGCTGCGTGAGCGGCTTTCTTCTTGGTGTCATACTGTGTCAGAACGTCTATCAGACCCATGAAGTACACCTCCCTCTGAGGGGCTCCTGAGGGGGAAACAGACAGAGAGATGTGGAATAGCCACTGCTCAAAAACACAAATTACCCAAATTGCAGTGTAACTGTAAATCCATGATTAGAGTAAATTCTATTTAAGTGAATTAAATTCAGTAAGTAAATTGAGAACCCAATTGCTTGAATTGATTGAATTGACCCCAACCATGTAATTTCCCAACTTTGCCTTGAACTTACCAGGGGCACTCCTCACGGCGTACACATCCACGTAGGGGTCAAACTCCCCGGGCCCCAGGGGCTTGCAGGAGGCCATGTAGCCAGCGATGCCCTCAGGAGACGTACCGTAGGAGCCAACATTAGCAGCCTGCGTGTGGCCATTCTCAGTCTCCCCCTCCTCCTCATTGGAGGGCTCCTCTCCCTCCTCCTCCTCCCGCTCAGCCCGCCCCACATCATGGATACCCAACAGCAGGCTGTAGTCCATGATCTTTAGCTTGACCAGAAACTACAGGACAGGACACACACCAAACGATCACTATGGACGGAGATGGTGGTATCACGGTAAAAAACAGAATGTATCTACTACCACCTTGTGGTAGATTCCTAGAATAGGAAGGCAGGTTCTAGAACTGAAAACATTCAAATATGAATTATAGTTCTAGTCCCCCTTCTAGTTCTGTGGAGGTCACCTTACCTCCACATCTCTGTTGAGTTTCTCCATGACCCTTTCCTTCTGCTCCTCGCTCACGTACACCTTCTGCATGTTGTTTCTGAAGTCCATGTCCTTGTAGGTGGGGAGCTCTTTCACCTGAGGGACAGTTATGAAACATTGAAACAGACACATGCAAACTTTCTCAAGAAAGTAATGACATGAAATGACAAAATGTACTGTGGGTGCTTAATAAGACTAGTCCCTTAGAAAGGCAATTTTCACATGTATGGTTGGTTGGGTGACATACACATTCTTAGTCGTCTTACCCGCTCTTTGTCACTTGCTTCACGAGACACCAGAGAGCCCTGAGTAGCAATAAGATAAGAGGTTAATAGGCAAGGTCAGGGATTCTATGACCTCTGCGTGGAAATCATGAAGTAGCTAACGGAACAACCTGTAACTTTACCAAAATGCCCAGGACTCCAGAAATCCCGGTTGGAAGATTCCCGGAATTAGAAGGGAATAAGCAAAAAAAAATCGGGAAATCCTCCAATCAGGATTTCTGGAAAACCTGGATGTTTGTGTCTCTCTCTCTCACCTTGACGTTGTACTGTGTGTGTGTGCGCTTGGGTGTGTGTGTGTGTTTGCGTGCGTCACTCCCGCTCACCTTAAGGTCGTACTTCCTGTGCACCACCAGTCTGTGACTGAACATGTTCCTCATGACGATCAGGTAGGTCTCCTCATTCTCCACACCCACACGGTACATCCCCAGGAACTGGGGCAGCAGAGTGCTGCCGTGGCACTTCACTATGTGCTGCAGCCAGGGAGAAGACGGGAAAGAATGAATGGCAAATAGACTATGGTTGTGTCTGAATTGGCACCCATAGTGCCGTGGTCAAAAGCACACACCAGTACTGTACAAAGTACATTCATTATGCATTCACGACTCCTTTCTTTCACCCCTGGTTGAAGATGAAATTGAAATGTTTTTCAAACTGTTTTTCAACCAAATTGCTCTCTCCATCTTCCTCTGCCTTACTCTCTCTTCCTTTCCCTCCTTCTCTCTATCCAGGTTACAAATGGGTCCCCACTCAGACTGTGATCTATTAAAAAGGGACACACTTTAAACTGACCTCATTCAGAGTCTCCTGACTGGAACACAATGTAGCTAGCAGAATGCTAACAAAAGATATGATGCTTTGAAAAGACTGTACTGTACCATTTATATTCTCCGCTTCTATTCTTTGCAGTCTGCATGGAGCCAAAATGAGCAGCAGTGGCAATGTGGATGGGATGCAAGGTAAACAAAGCCCCCAGGACACATAAGCTGAGTCCCAAATGGCAACCTACTTTTCCTATATAGTGCACTACTTTTGATGACCTGCCAACCTTGAAGAATGAGTAGTAATTCAATGTGGCGGCGGCACCCCCGGCCCTGCAGACCCCACGACGGCACGCACGCCACACCGCTCAAATCATAGGCAAATTCAATTTTTTTTGCCTAATAATGATGTTGGCAGAAGACTGCCTCAGTAGGAATGGTAGGCTATAGACTTATGGGTACTTTGTAATTATTGGCTGCTCTTCAGTAGCTCACTAGAAATACGTTGAAATGTACAATCAGGGCTCTCCCTAGGATTTTCTGACAAGGTGGTGCAGATGTAGGCCTAAGGTTGGGTAGTGGGGAGGTCCTGAAGGGGTCAGTCAACTTCCCGCTCAGGAAGATGGGGCATTTAGCTTTTTTGAAAGCCCTGTAAACCGCCATTTCCTGAAACCTAGTCTTAAATTATGCTGAACAAAAATATAAACGCAACATGCAACAATTTTACTGAGTTACAGTTCATATAAGGAAATCAGTCACTTGAAATAAATGCATTAGGCCCTAATCTATGGATTTCACATGACTGGGAATACACATACGCATCTGTTGGTCACACCTTTAAAAAAAGGTAGGGTCGAGGATCAGAAAACCATTCAGTATCTGTTGTGACCACCACTTTCCTCACGCAGCGCAACATCTCCTTCGCATAAAGTTGATCAGAATGTTGATTGCGGCCTGTGGAATGTTGTCCCACTCCTCTTCAATGGCTGTGCGAAGTTGCTCGATATTGGCGGGAACTGGAACACGCTGTCGTACACGTGGATCCAGAGCATCCAAACATGCTAAATGGGTGACATGTCTGGTGAGTATGCAGGCCGTGGAAAAACTGGGACATTTTCAGCTTCCAGGATGTGTGTACAGATCCTTCCGACATGGGGCCGTGCATTATCATGCTAAAACAAGAGGTAATGGCGGCGGATGAATGGCACGACAATGGGCCTCAGGATCTTGTCATGGTATCTCTGTGCATCCAAATTGCCATTGATAAAATGCAATTATGTTCGTTGTCCGTAGCTTATGCCTGCCCATAACATAACCCCACCATGGGGCACTCTGTTCACAACGTTGACATCAGCAAACTGCTCACCCACATGACGCCATACACGTGGTCTGCGTTTGTGAGGCCGGTTGGACGTACTGCCAAATTCTCTAAAATGACGTTTGAGGCGGCTTATGGTAGAGAAATTAACATTAAATTATCTGGCAACAGCTCTGGTGGACATTCCTGCAGTCAGCATGCCAATTGCACACTTTCTCAAAACTTGAGACATCTGTGGCATTGCATTGTGAGACAAAACTGCACATTTTAGAGTGGACTTTTATTGTCCCCAGCACAAGGTGCACCTGTGTAATGATCATGCTGTTTAATCAGCTTTTTGATATGCCACACATGCCAGGTGGAAGGATTATCTTGGCAAAGGAGAAATGCTCACTAACAAGGATGTAAACAAATCTGTGCACAACATTTTAGAGAAATAAGCTTTTTGTGCATATGGAACATTTCTGGGATATTTTATTTCAGCTCATGAAACATGGGACCAACACTTTACCTGTTGCGTTTATATTTTTGTTCAGTTTATATCAAACAATGTAGCCAACAAAGAAGTATTGTGTTTGATCCTAAATTAAATTGAGGTGGTCTCATTAACCACTTTTCCATCCAAAATTGTTATGGAAGTAGAGTCATACCATATAAAAAAATATTTAAAAAAATCACGACAGCCGTTTTGGTACAATTTTATATGCCGACAGATAATTTGTTTGTTCGACATGGTGGGATCTTTTTGTGTTGGTAAAATGCGAGAAATCGTGGTGTGTGGTCATCCCACTATGACTAGGGAAACCATGCAGTTTATTAGGCTACAGATCAACTAAGTTATGATGAACTTCACAGGGTGGTGAATGTGCACGGTGATCTTGATGCTCCCAGAGGGTATTATTCTGGTGACATGATGATCAATGGTTGACTGCCGTTTGACAAATAAAAATATTCTCGCTCTTATTCATAATAATCTCATCATGTAGACCACCCTAAAGCTGTTGGCTAGAGCGCACGTGCAAAGACCAGAATAGGCACATTTTCTATGTAACGCAACAGTTTGTGACAAAACTATCGGTAGAGTTGGAAATGCGATGGAAACACATTGAACTTTAGATTTTTATATCGACACATGAACATTTTCTTTATGTGGATTTTAGAATATTTGCATGAAGATCTGGCGCCAATTGGATGGAAACCTAGCTATTGACACTCACATTTTTCAAGGTTAAATTTAGGGGTAACGATTATTCTAATTAATAGCTGTCTTTATGTGGATACCAGTGAAAATGTAAACTTGCTTAATTTTGTTTGGGGAGAACATTTGGAATAATTCAATTACTGGATGTAATGTCGTAGTCTAGTTTACTGAAGGCTATTTGGAATATGAAACAACTGAACTAGGCCTATAGGAGCTTGTTTCAGATCTCCATCCCTGACCTAATCCATCAAGTTAGGTCTGACTACTAGGCTACCATTCATTCAACATGCCTCGTTGTCATTGGTGAACTGACTATTATCACATCACTAGCAGCCTACTGTTGACATACAGCTACATGAAGAGGACAGATCCAGAACTGTTTAATTAACATAGACTGTTAAAGATTAGTAGGCCTAACACACAACTTTCTGTGAAGGACGGTATTAGAGGAACATCTAAGCAGCAACGCAAACTGAACTACGGCAACACCGCACGTTTCCTTGCTCGTCAATGCGCTAGTGCCTACTGCTGTTGAGGAGATCAAAGCATGTGTGGCAAGAAAGGGTTCTTGCTTAGGGTGCGTTCGTAAATTCACTCTGGCTATCTACTCCGATTTCAGAGCACTCACGTCTGAGTGTGCCAGAGCGCAGAATAACTGATGAATTTACGAACACTCAACACCCGTTGAATATGGCCGGTGTTGGTAAACGTTGGCAAAAAAAGCTTTAGCAAAAAAGCTGTTGCCAGCAGCACAGTTACAGTCACCAATGCTCTGGATAACCAGCTCTGCAAGTGAGAGTAAAATGGTCAGAGTGAGGTGTTCTCTCATTTGTGTCTGGAAGTAGCTAGCAAGATAGCCAACATTAGCCAGTTAGCTTGGGTGCTTGACTGCCGTTGTGAGGTCAGAACGCTCGGATCAACCCTCAGCCAGAGCGTCCAGTTTGCGTTCTGAACGTTCCGAGAGCGAAACGCTCAGAATTTATGAATGGACAATCTGACAACGCTCTGAATTTACAAACGCCCAGAGCACACTCTCAGCGCAATCTGGCACTCCAGATTGAATTTACGAACACACACTTAGTTGACTAAACAACGCTGTATCTAACTACCTTCGTCGTAATGACGCCTTAGCTAAGGAGCTAACTACGAAATATTAGTGGTTATGTGCTTGACAAGCACATACAAATTTGGAAAAAGTATTTGGCAAACAGTTTGTTCTCCATTTTCCCTTTTTCCTCACATGTTAGTGGTATCAACGGACGAAGTTCAGAGCTGCCATCCAGCTCGAGGGAGGAAAACTGTACCAGAGACGGAAGAGAAAGCGAGACACCCCACTCGCATTATTTTTTTTTTTTTGTTCATTCTGGTTCAATTGAAGTCAATGAACTAAGTAGACCAGACCCTGCTGCTATCACATTAGTGTCTATGGGAGAGCCACCCCCTTAAGTAGACAGGAACTGACCATTATTTTCCAATGGTAAACTGCCTGAGTGAAATATCTTCATTTATCTACCATCTTTGATAGTACTACGACTACAGGGGGCGGGCCGGAGCAGAGCGCTAGAGATTATTTATCCTCGCCCAAATCCTCGGATTAGCTCAACTCCAATTTCAGACGGTTGAGTCAAAAAAGACAATGTGCCAACTAGAAGCCTATTTTTGCGTATTTTAGGGTAGTTTTTTGTACCAACGTACGTTGACCTCAAATTACGTACATTGTACGCAAAATGTGTTCTGGTTGGCAGGTCTGCTATTGACCAGAGCCCTATGGGCCATTTGGGATGCAACAATAGAGATGTAAAAAAAAAAATAACTATGCAGTGGCACTGCACACTCAAGAGCTCTGCTGCTCCGATTATTATAATCTGCTCATTCAGCGACAAATGATGCACGCATGCACATACACTCTAGCCCAGGTTTCTTCAATTCCGGTCCTGGAGGGCTGAAACACTTCTGTTTTTTATTTCTACCTGGTAGTTAACTGCACTCACCTGGTGTCCCAGGTCTGAATTAGCCCCTGATTAGAAGGAGAGGATGAAAAACAGAGGTGTTTCGGCCCTCCAGGACCGGAATTGAAGAACCCTGCTCTAGCCTAACACGGCTGTTTAAATAACCAGGTCATCAAAGTCTGAGTGCTGATGTAGGATCAGTTTAGGACCTAACCCTAGATGAGCAATCCTACTCCGAGGCACTTTTTCAACACTAGCACAGAGCAAGGCAACTCGTTCCTCGGCTAACCAGAAATTCACATCTGGTGCATGGAATAGCGAGTCCAAGGCTTTCAAATTAAAATGTATGAATTGATTCATGCCAAGTTCAATTGGAATAGCTGCTAAATTGATGTGAAAAAGCAGTGAAATGCTTACTTACAAGCCCTTAACCAACAATGCAGTTTTTAAAGAAAAGTAAAAGTAAAGTAAAAAATAGATAAGTAAAATATAGAAAATAGAAAATAATTAAAGAGCAGCAGTAAAATGAAATAACAGTAAGGAGGCTATATACAGGGGGTACCTGTGCGGGGGCACCGGTTAGTCGAGGTAATTGAGGTAATATGTTAATGTGGGTAGAGTTAAAGTGACTAAGCCTGGGTGTCATTACATTACCTGGTGGTATTCAGACAGGATGCCGTGCATGTCTGCCACATCCTCACTAGAGATCTGCTTTATGACCAGCGTGCGATCGTAGGAGGTCAGGAGGATCCCCTCCCCCTGGGCGTCCCCACCTCTTACAGGAGGGCTGCGGGTCAACGACACCTACAGGGATGAGAGAGAAAACAGGCGTACTTAAAATCAACTGCATGATGATGACCAACTTAGTATTTATTGTTTTAATAGTCATTGGCCTAGTCCATCGGTGTGTCCCAATAACATCTCCTTTCTCCTGAAGTTTGCACTGGTTCACTACTTCTCACAAATCTAAAAGCATTGGATTGGTGGAGGTATGGGCTAGTGGGAGTTTCCATAGCAACACTCATACCTGGTAGTCTAGATCCTCAATTCCGAAGCGCTCCCGAAGATTGCGAAACACTTGGGGACAGTATTCTTTAAACTTAAAATGTCCTGGTAGATTCTCTCTGCAAAAGAAAGTTGAACAAATTATCAACAACTTGCAGTGTTTACTCTCCTTCTTACCATTCCCCGTCATCAAGGAATCTCAAATATAACATTTATTTTGATATGTTTAACAGTTTTTGTGTTAATACATGATTCAATATGTGTTATTTCATAGTGTTGATGTCTTCACTACTATTCTACAATGTAGAAAATAGTAAAAATAAAGAAAAACCCTTGAATGAGTAGGTGTGTCCAAACTTTTGACTGGTATGTATGTATGTATGTATGTATGTATGTATGTATGTATGTATGTATGTATATATATATATATATATATATATATATATATGAATGAGAGAGAGTATTGACAAGAGTGAGCAAACATTACTTGTTGAAGAGGTGATTGTTGACTTTGATCTTAGTGTTTGCTTTGAAGTCATCAGGCAGCAGCATGACAGGAACAGGCACCTGGTTTAAGTCATTAATCTGCAGACAGACAGAAAGAAGTACGGTACTCCCATTAGCTACTACACTTTCAACATGGGATCATCATGAGGGGTAAACATGCAGTTGATCGATAGCAAACAAGATGGAAATGATTTTTATGACAGGCTGCCCTGTCATTGCTTTCTAGAGACCACACTGGCTAACTTTTCTCTCAGCAAAGCCCACAACACACCGTCCATGACGTGACACTTCAGTGTCAGCTGATAGTTGGCTACTAGCCAGCAGCAAGTTGGTTAGTTAGTCTGCTACAGCTAGTGTTACTGACACAAACAATTCTAGCCAACGTGGTTAGCAATCAACCAGACATTAGCTAGCTTGTTCTCGGAACAGTTCGTTTAGTTAACGTTACATTTCTACTGAATGCGCATAGCTAACGTTAGCTAGCTACGCCGACTGCTAGGTTTGATAACTAGCTAGCTACCTAGCTTCAGCTAACTCTGAATGTCAAAATTAGCTACCTAACAACATAACTGACGTTTTATACTCACCGAATGATTTACACCCCACATAAAAACGCTCAAGACTGGGCCGCTGGCACGAAAGACCTTCACCTTCTGCTGCACAAAATGTTTCTTTTTGGTTTTGGTTTTTGGGGCCAATATCACCATAGGACTGGAAACAGCGTTACCGCTGGACGCCATCGCGGAGATTGCCCTGGCTTTGCCTTGCGTGGGAACTTTATTTTTTCGTCTCCCGATTCTGATCTTTCGCAAACTGACTTCCCCGTGTCACTGCGTAATGTTGCTGGTACCTCGAGCAATCCCGTCTGAATTCAGATCAGTAGTAGCCTACATTTGTGCTTGTTTTAACACTAATTATGGATTCCAAACTAGTCTTCAAATATATTCTAGTCCAGCTAGTCTCGAAAAAAAATATTGAGGAACTGAACTGCAGACCCCTGTTGTGTTGGTTCAGGTGATGGACAGTTGTGAAAAACCAAAGAGATGTTACAATCATGTCATGTGATCTTATAGGCGGAAAGTTGGCCATTTCTTTCATAGAAAATGTTACTGACAAGTGACTAACCATTATATGATACTTCAGCTATCCTCACAGTTCTGCAACACTGTAGTAATGCAGAGCTGTCCTATAAGGAGAATAAAGTTCGACTATGAAGGTAAATCAGCTAAATCCTGCATCTGTGCAGTGCTTGAGCTTTCCAAAGACAAATTCCATAGAAGACAAACACTACACTTTCTGATGAATTGATCATAGAGGAATTTGCTCACTAGAAAAGTTGCAGCCCTCATATACCTCTCTCACTCACAGCAGTGCCTATGACTAAATTTGACTGAAATAAGCGTGTTGTTCAAATGATTCACATGATACACTCTCATCTCTCTTCGCTTATTAACTGTGTAGGCCTACTCAAACTGAAACCAATGCTTAGACATGACAAGGGATCCATAAGACTAAGGTTAGTTGCCCAATTTTGCATAATTGTATTACTGTTGTTACACTGTTCTCCCTTGCCTGGTGTTCTCCCCATATTTTCACCATCACTGGCCTTAATGCAGCTCCAATGTCATGGTGTGTGTGCGTGTCCCGTATGACACTATTCGCTATTTAGTGCACTATTTTTGAACAGGGCCCCTATAGTGTACTATAGGGAATAGGGTGCCATTTGGGACACAAGCCCTCCACTCTGTTATTACTTCTGACATGCCATCTCTCATATGCTTTGGCCAGTAATAACTACAGCATTGCAACATAAATGGATTACACTCTGGATTGCACTCTACATGTTTAAATGTATACATTTGGTGGATTCAATACATTATTTCCCCATACTGATCATCATCACATTGAGCTTTAGTTGAATATATCTTATTTTAATTTCTGCATATAAACCATGCTCTTATAGAGGATATACCACAAGCATTGTTAATTACATAGCATTTTGATTTCTTCCATCGGAGTACATTTTAGATTGTTAATTCTGTGCACAGAGAGGGTAGCTATAGGATGTCTCATATATTCACTCTCCTAAGAATAGTAAATGTAACCACCCTAGATACAGAAGTAGAACATGTGGTGTGATTTAACAAAGGACACTGCTTACTTTCCTGCATCATCCTCTGCGAGACCTGCATTTCAAATTCTTATGCATTGACAAATAGGATATTCTATGCTGTTTCCTTGGAAACAGGCATGTGTCCTTGTATACTGTAGGTGCTGGAACAAATTGTCCTTTGCATCCCCTAGACATGGTAGAAAACCTGCATCATACTGATGCCTATTCATTCCTAGTACATACATGTTAATAACGTGTTGGTTCATCTTTAACTTGTTGGTTTATTTTAACGTGATCTGGACAGAGACAGTTATTAGATCTTATTAACGGTTTGAACATTTAAACAGCAAACAAATATTTTAAATCAGAGCCATAATTTTAAATCAGCTCAGCTGACATAAGAGAACAACAGTGGCTAGCAGAGTAGCTGTGCTACATTTTGCTGCTACACCTGTGCAGTGCTTCAGATTGTGACCATGACTAAGCAGCTTTGTAAAATGAATGAGATCCAATAGCACTACAGCTATTGCATTGGTGGAGCTCACAAATAAAACACACTGTAATGCTCTTTTTTATATTAATATATGTATTTATTGTTATTCATTTTGATATCATTTTTTATTTTAGCCTTTGTAAATATAGGCCCCCTGTGCATGGCCCTACCATCACAGCACATACATTGGCACAACAAGATGGGTGAGAAATAGAAATAATCTAATCACACAGTTTATCACACAATTCAAAGACAAGTAAGTAACTGTAACATATTCAAACTTAATTTACCAAAATTAGCATTGTAATAGGACGTGCCATAAGCAAAACATTATCATGATACATTCCAATATTAAATGGTCAAAGTATAAATAAAATACGTTTTTTGAAATAAAAATCATAACATGTACAGCAGTTGAATAGCTCAGATGTGTGTAGTGAGTTTCACCATGAGGGTGCTACTGCCTCCAAAGCACAATGCTCTCCCTAGCAAAGAAATAAAATAACCTCTGTTTTTAAATTAAAGAAAACTGCTGACAATATAAAAATACATGGCATTGTAGTTCATTAAATAAACCAACAATTTATATATAAAATATTATATTGACGTGTATAAAAATATGCTTAACAACTTCTTGAAAAGGGTAACAGCCATAAGATTTTTTTTGTCTGCCACTTCAGAACACACACTGTCAACCACAAAAATCCAACATATGTACAAACAATCAACTATTAGAGCAGTCAGAACGTCATTTCAACAACAATGGACTGTTTCACATAGCCTAACTATTTTTCTGACGCGATTATAGGATAAGTGTAAAATTCAAGCAGTACTGCATGGAATTTCATACTCCAAAATAAATTAAATAGAAAAGGAATATTCATCAATTTAATTAAGTAAATATCATAATGTCAGTGTATCTTTGGAGAAAAGGAGAGAGGATGGTGACGGAGACACGTTTTCAAACATTGTGTCACACCAACACCAGCGTAACAGTATTTCAGCCCACTGAGTTAAAGGCCCAGTGCAGTCAAAAATGTGATTTTTCTGTGTTTTATATATATTTCCACACTATAAGGTTGGAATAATACTGTAAAATTATGAAAATTATGATAATGCCCTTTTAGTGTAAGAGCTGGTTGAAAAGACGCCTGAAATTTCAGCCTGTTTTGGTGGGATGGAGTTTTGGCCTGCCTGGTGATGTCACCAGGCAGTAAATCAGTTAATAAGCCAATAGGAAAGAGAGTTCCAAATAACTAGTTTTCAGTTTTTCCCTCCATACTCAGACCACTCCCAGACAGTCCTAGACATTGTTTTGCTTGAGAAATTGCTCTTGCTAAGAAGCTATTGTACTTTTTGACCATTTTAATTGAAAACAATCACAGTAATTGTTACCCAGAAATGATTAGATATTGAGATAAAAACGGCTGCATTGGGCCTTTAATAACAAACACAGGCAGTGTGAGCTATCCTATAAAACAGAAAATCTACAACGAACATACAAACAGACGAAGCCAGGACAAGAGCCAGGGAATTCAATATTGAGAAATACAGCTTTGATATCAGTTAGTTGAGGCAGTTCGTAACAAAGCGGTAATGTGAGATAGATAAGCTACTGCACGTTGTCACACTGAATGATTCAGAGGACTAGTACTGTAGCTGCAAACTGTTGAACATTCAGCTGGGAATTGCTACTGTAGTACTGTAGGTATGTGTCTTTGTTTGGCTGTTTCTTGACTAGAGGACAGTAAGCTAATTTGGAGTAATTTCCATAGGAAGTGGTTTAATCCCTGGTGTCTCCTGTCCAGGCATTGTCTAGCACAAGCTAAAGCTAAACCCCCTCTCCTCCTCCTCCTCCTCCTCCTCCTCCCCCGCCTCCTCCTCCTCCTCCTCATCCTCATCCTCCACATCCACCACCTCCTCCTCCGCTTACTCCCCCTCCTCCAGGCTCAAAGTTTTGGGACAAGGACCTCCCTCACTCTCCATCGCATGGTAAAGTGCCGTCTTCGCTGGCACGTGAGGGCAAGGCGGTACCCAGCTCATCCACACACCAACAGTGGCCACGCTGCATGCCCTTGGAGGAGCGACACTGTGTTGTGTGAGAGGATAGAGAATGATAATATGTCATCATACCATATAACTATTGTCAGCATGCCCACAGCCCAGAGGGCCTGGAAGCAAAGTGTCCTTTATCCAGAGCCTCTGGCCATGGAGACATTTTTCGGCTGAATTCAATAGAGAGATAGCATGCAATTGAAAAGAGGAATAGCATGCCACTCTCTTGATCTCATAAACACATATACTATTCATACACAGGCAGATATTCACGTCAACAACCGTGCTGCTCTATATCTACCTGCTTTTTCCTGTAGAAGCCCCGAGTATCACAGTTGGGGATATAGATGTCACGATCAGACTGAAAGATAGTGAGCTCAATACCCCGCAGAACACTATTGAGCAGCTTACGGCAGGGTGCCTAAAAAGAGGATACATTGATAAATACAGAAACTATACAGTCATAAATACAGCAACTATACATTGATAAATACAGTAACTACTGTATACAAGGGGAGAGCCTACATTTTAAATGACAGGAAGTGCAGAGAAGCCCATGGTTATGATGATAGAAAACCATTAGTAGCCTATTAGAGTAGCTACAACACGTGTGGATATCATAGAAGATGGAGGTCAGTGATGCAGCATGAAGCCAGAAGCAAAACATATTATATGTCACATAATATCATGTCATTATATAATGATATTGTTACACAAGGACTGTGCTTTTTCAGGTCACTTAGAGTGGTTTGAAGCAACTGTGTGACTAAGTAGGCAGTATCTGTCAAATTGTAGAAATCAATTCTATGTTGGGTTTGTGTTTCATTGCAGATCCACCTCCTCTCCTCTCCTCGTAAAGTGAAAAATCCAAGGCCGCCACAGTCGAGTCTAAACTTTACTGATTCACATCATGGTCTATTAGTTCTGCCGCATAGCGGCATACACATCATGCACCATAATGTATGGCTTTAGAGCAGTATATGTGGTACTGCTGTCGCTGTATCACCCAGATAGCACAGCAGCTTCAGTAATAACTCTCTCTCCCCGACTCCTTCCATCATACACTATCTATCTGTATGAATATGAATGCATTATGTAAGCAGCTCTACATATTTTTCTGATTTAAGCAGATGTGGGTAAATGTAAGTAGAAATCATTATTAGCTTACTGCATCAAGTGGCTTAAGCAGATACCATACTTGGATATTACTTACCTTTTCTATTTCACCACTTTGTGAAGGATGTGGACCTATAGGAGAGAGCATCACATTAACAATAATACATTAAACCAGGGCATTACTAAGAACCTTAAACCATCTCTGATATCAAAATATAAGTTAGAAGTGTTTTGTTTCAAGCTGTTGCGAGACATGAAGCATCAAGTATATACAGGTGCAATGCAGGAAATGTAAAACTTGTATTGTATTTGAGGTTTGAAAAGGCTTCTGAAGTTTGTAATTTCCCTTACAAAAAATGTATCAACCACTACAAAAATGTCCATTAATTATGATCCACATATAAAATCACATTTCCTGTTGCTGCAGGATTATTTTCCTGCTGTAGCAAACTGGCTCAAATGAAGACCCTATATCTTTACTGGATACAGTGATTCAGCTCTGAATTTATATTTTCTGTAGCATGTCCTTCCTAAGGAATCGCAGTGGCTTAGTCTGAACAGTAGATGGAGACCCCTTGCAATGAAAAGCATCCTTATCGGACTGTAGGTGACAGTATAACACATTCTGTGCTGTCAATAAAATGCACACACACACAGAGATCACACCCTCTCTTTGAAATGCATGTACAGTACCATAACCATACACATCACATGCATATATATATACACATACTTGCACACACATACTTACACAAGCTGCAATGTACCAATACACCTAAAGAGTGCCTCAAGTGTCTGTGCATCATAGTGTTGACTAAATCCTTTTATTACATGACTGATGATATGCTGCTCAATCCAACATTTGAGACTTCTAGTCCTACAGTCCCTAAAATGAGATTTTTGTCACAAGACACCATGCAGAGGCACTGCAGTATAGAAATCAAGACCATGCAGCCCTTTCACATCCATATTTGGAGCCTGTCATGTATCTGACACTAAATGTCATACTCTTATAATAAAACAGTACTAGCATTTCTTTTTGGTGCACACCAACATCACATACAATCCTCACACTGATGATAGGAGAGTGTGTATCTTACTTCCAATGATTCATAAGCTAAGCTGTAGGTATAATTGCCTTAACAAACACAGACAACACAGAGCTGAATTGAATACTATTAGACGTGCCAGTGGTGTGTGTCTCAGTCTTACCTGTGGGGTGGGGCCTCTCTGTGGGACTGGTCCTGCTGTGCTTGGTGCAGAAGCCCCTGCCCTGCAGCAGCGCCTGGAGAGGGCTGTGTTCCTGTGGAGGGGGCACGCAGCGCAGCCCCTTGGCACAGCTCAGGGTGTACACACCACAGGGCTCTCCCTGGGCCAACATGGATGTGCTGCCTGCTTGCCCAATATGGTCTCTGGGGGCCCGACCTGCCCCCAAAGGTTCTCTACAGGAGGGACAACCCTTGTAGGGGCCCAAGCGGTTAGCCAGAATCCAAGATCCGCAGTGAGCAATCAGCAACAAGACAATAGTCGTTAAGTTAGAAAGGAGAGGCATTTTCTGTCCAGGTCTCAGGTTCAGCTCCACACACACTCTCTCTCTCTCTCTCTTTCTCTCTCAGTCAGTCAAATGTGGCTGATGCTATTTCTGGATGTATATTTATCTCTTTCTCTCTGTCCTCTCTCCGTCTCTTCAGTTTTGCTTGGTGCTTAGTCGGTTCAATCGTTAGGCAGCCAGGAGTCCCCTGCAGTGCAAGAGGAGACAAATGGAGATCGAGAGAGACACAGCAAAGCAGCAGCTTTTAAAGATCTGAAAGGCGGTGATAGAGAGGGAGAGAGAGAGCACAGTTATGACACCTTCAGGGGCTGGGACTCAGAGAGAGAGAGAGAGAGAGGGAGGGAGAGAGGGAGGAAGGCAGAGAGGGAGTAGAGAGAGGTGGGGGGGTGGATTATTTTCCTTTAGGAAATTATCAAAATCTCCCCCACCCCTTCCTTTCCTACTGTATATCAACACACCCCCATAGACTGACTCCTTTCTCTAGTAATGTTAAACATGTACAAACAGTATACATTACAATATATTCACTTTCTCCCCATTATGCATTGATGTCATTCATACCATTCTGATCATATTTGCCATGGTAACAATTATGGCAAGGTATTGCGTTGCATTCAACTATACTGACTGCAATGTCTAGCTTTATAGGAGTTGTTCTAATACTCTGTCAACCCTGACCAGAGAAGAATATAGAATACTGCTTGGATCTCGCAAAATAGGTACTAAATGAAAAAATTACTGATAAATCAATTAAAACTACAACCACTGATCCAATTGCAAAGAATTAAACAGATATTGAACTGTCAATGTACAGAAGAAAGGTGAAAGTTAAAATACCTTATTTTACAATGTAATAATGATCTACACAGATGTGTGCCAAATGTTAGTCAAGAAAGGTTTCCAGAAGTAGAAGTGTTTGAATGTAAACTGATTGCCATGAAAAACACAATGTTTCAGAAGCTGGCGTATCATGTACTACTTTGTGTAATACATGTGCATAACTATAACCCATTGGAGTTTGCTGGACTTTTTCCAGATCAAACAATGTTGATGGATTGATATCGCTCCACTAGGGGGATTATCCCGCCTCCTGCCAAACTATAATGAATGTGAGTTGAGACCAGGGATGACAGGTCTTGATGATGGAAGGATTGGGTATTTAACACATTATAATAGTTTCATATAATGTAGTTTAGTGAAGTTTCATAAAAAGTTGTCTTGATTTCTCAGCAGTCTTTTTTACAAACTCGAGACTATGTGTGGACTAAATCATATAAAGAAGTTTTGCAGTCTTGAGGAGACGGTAGATGGTAGATTCATATTTTGTTGCCCATGCTGCCATTGTTTGCATTGGAAGAGGCATCCACTGGATAATTAAAGAGGACTTGCTTTAGCTGGAATGTACATAATGACTGTAAGAGAGAAAGGTTGTGCCAGGCAGGCAGCTGCTAATAATGCAATCCATCTATGCACTCAACTGTTCAAGATTTGCTTCACGGGCGCCATCTTCAAGAGATCACTTACTCTCACCCATCCTGAGCCCCAAACCTCTTCATACTTCATACCACTTACAGTTCCATTGCATTGTTCTGTAATTCTGCCATGGCTGAATCTGAATTTCATTATTCCATGGTTGAAGGAATAAAAAAAAGGTTATCTATGTGTTTCTAGAGTTGTGATTATAGTAGGCATAGAATAACAATAGAGATGGAGCTATAACGTATATTACAGTTAATTTGATAAGCCAGCCTTAGCTGGAGGATCATAGAGCATATATTTAGATTGATGCATTATAATTAGAATGACTCTAATGAATCCATAGAATTATAATGGCTAATTCTGTTTCTAAGGGTTAGAGCCCCATAGGTTAGAAATCCACTCCTCTTATCTAGGCCATCTATCTCATAGTGTTGGGTGCTATAGTTTGTCTGAGGTTACTACCATGGAGGAGGCTCCTGTAAGGACAATAAACTGTTGTCATGAGGCAACATCAACATAATGATATCAAAAGACAAACTAGCATTTCAGAGAGCATTAAACAGGATATAAAAATATGTTGATCTAACAACATTGAACTTGTAATGGCAAAGCACCACTAAAATAAGGGCACATATATGCATGATTGGCTCTTGACCAAGCTGCTGGATCACCTGCTGCATCTGTGGGCAAAATTCTATCTAGAACACAGCGACAGCTCAATGCTTCCCAAAGCTCCAGAACCCACAGACATTCTGGAACACACAGACTAGTCTACATCGAATAGTTCCGAAACCCCACTTGGTGAAAACCTTCTTGGTTGTCAGCTGCCTGATGTTATTATTAGGAATGATTAATCTTGGCACTAAGAACAGAAATCACCTGCCGTCTTGTGTTCCCATCAATGCTAGCTACATCAGCTACAGCCCTACCTAGTCTGTTTCCAAATGTTCTGTCAGGAGAATGTTCCAAGAGACACGCCAGACCAATGGGGGCTCTCTTTTTCCACACTCCCTGGATTACTCATTTTTCCTCCCTCCTTCTCCCCCCGCCCCCTTTAGGTCTCTATTGAGTCAGATATAGGCTACTCCTATTATGTCCTCCTCTCCTCTTCTCACAAAATATGACTGCATGCCCTCCACACCTTCTAACCACCCAATGCTACAGTATCTGGGAAACTCCATTTGTGTCCAAGGCCTATTGTAGCAAACAGTTTTCCCATAGGGTAAAGAAAGGGCAAAAGTTGTCACTAGCTCATATAGTGACATATTGTGTCCAGGACAATTCATATTGTGGGAATAACCAATTACAATATCTCATTGGTTCCCTTTATCGGGGAGCACCAATGCCTCTGGACACACGTCTCTGTACACAGACAGACCTATTCTATATCACAAAATATGATTTTATGATTCTGATATGGAATTGGTTTCACAGCTCGTCAGTCTCTCTCATGGCTAGCTTTGATTGGCTCACTGAAGTTACCGGTGTCTGATGTCACTAGGAAGCGCCATACGTCTACAAAGTTTTTCTACTGTAGAGTTTTGGAGTCTTACCAAATGAACACAAGTGCTTTTGAAATAATTAATTAATAACATACTGGACAAATGGTAAGCATTTCACAAGAATAGTGGTATGCTGTGTAGTCACCGCTCTAGCAAGGTGGATAGTGAATCTATTTGTCCGAAATGAGCTAGCTAGCATGCTACTTAGGTAACGTTAGCTACTGAAGCGTTGCTCAAATTGTTTTGCTAATATCGATAACGTTAGGTACCACTAGCTAAATAGCTTATTACTAGACTATTTCCTAGCTAACTGACTTTTAATGCCACATTGGCTGAAATATTTTGCTAACGTCAATGAAAGTTAGCCAACTTTGCTAGTTAAATCTTTTGAAGACGGTTTGCATGTCATGCATTGTTTTTCGAATTGTGTTTACTAGTTCAGGGTTTCCTAGCCCTTGAGCATGACTCTCAGTTCCATTACATTACACATAAGAGTCCTTGGACAAAGGCGTCTTCTGTACAGGGGAGTTTTGTTAAGAGCCCCGACGCTCAATCTGAACATTAACACACGTCGCTTGCGGTACGTTTTCGAAAGCATAAGGACCTTATCTTTAATATCAGCAGAAAATACATTTAAAAAACGAAAGGTTAAATTGATACACAGCTTTCTGGGGTTAGTGTTCCCACACAGCCATATCTCCATGTTACAGCTCTTGTTTACGGAAGACATTAGACGACCATCTCTGCTAGTTAGCTATCTAGCTATCTAACACCTGTGTGCAAGTTTAACTTGGGAAGTTTAGTTTTGTTGGATGGATGGAGGCACCCATAGCTGTATGTACCTGTGCAAAACTACTAGACTAAGTGCATCTTTTATTTGAAGGATTCTTTCTTGTAATGAAAGATAAGGGCCATATGTTTCGAAAGCCATATCGCAAGGGATGATTATTTACATTTCTAAAAGTTAAGCAACGCGTTGGGATTGTAGTTCACATGAGCTAGTCGTGGGCGACCCTAATGCCTGAACTGTAGGGAGAAGGCAGAATGCCTGCAAAAGTTTTCAAGAGCTAAGGGTTTCCCAAACTCGGTCCTGCCCCCCCCGCCCCTGTACTACTGTACTAGTTAACGATAAAACACTCACCTACAGATTGCGAATTACACCATGACATTTGGGTTCAATAGAGTGCACGCACTTGGCATGAACACAACAAGTCGTGATATTTTCATCTGATTGTCAAACAAATCACTTCAAAAAGTAGGCTACCTGTGCATGTTCGTCCACTCCAAAATAATTCCAGCATCCAAACTGCATGTAGCCTATACTCGCACCATTTGATGAATGGAAATAGACATCTGTTACAAAGCACTAAAAAGTGTGCCTAATGACATTCAGTGATTGCCATTGATTAGGCCTACATTAATTGGTGCGTATTGTATGACAAATGTACCTTTTTTGTAGCCTGAAAAGTCGGGACACCTGAAATGGGGCAGAAACTGTCCCAGGAAAACAGGATGGACACCCTAACAACACATATGGACAACTTACTAGACTAGTAGTCTACAATGTATATTACCATGAACTTCAAATAGGCCTACCGTTAGCCAGTGATGTAGACGGTAAACTCTGATTGCTGGTCACGGTAAAAAAAATAAAAAAAATATGCTCCCTATACGTTCAATGCATTTTTCAGAAAAGGTAGGTAAACACGGTTACTTGCGTTTACCCTCCGCTAGGCCTACACCACTGCCGGTAGGCTACCCTCTCAGCCGAGGCAATTTTACACACATGAACACATGCAGAACAGGTAGCCTACATTCAATATAATACATGAATTGAATCAAAACATGTTTTACACTCTAGTTCATGAGTTGCCCATAATTCATGAGTTAATGTTTTGTCTTCACAGATCGTGTGACATAAAACACTACCTTTATTATAACATTTATGACAGTGTTATTTGTCATTATTAAGCATTTAACAATTTTAATTAGAACATTGAACTTAAACCCTGTATGAATCATGGGTCTTGTAGATCTCGGAAAATGCACTGTAAGTGTAACTATGCCTAC